CATGCTCCTCCTCCTCCCTCTCCTCCTCCTCCTCCCTCTCCTCCTCCTTCTCCTCCTCTTCCTCCTTCTCCTTCTCCTCCTCCCTCCCCTCCTCCTCCCAACAATATCCTCCTGTGTCTAACTCCTCCTCTGTGTCGTCCAGTTCTCCTCCTCCTCCTCCTCCTCTTGACTCTGCTCCTGTGTCATCCAATAGCGGGGAGCCTAAACGCTTGAGTGAGCGGGTGGTTGGCGGGTGCTCTGGTGTGGTGTGCTCCTTCTTTCCTACCAAACGTCTATCGTCCTTATCTCCCCTCCTTCTTTTTTGTGTTTGTTACTCTCTTGTAACACCTCTAGTCTTCTGCACTTTTATAACCTTATTGTGTTGCAAGTGCCGTAAAACTCTTACTAGAACTAAACTAAAATGCTTGAGTGACCTTCTTCTACCCTCGTCTTCTGTTGCAGGACAGCAGACCGAAGCCCCCAACAACAACAACAACAGCAACAACAACACCACCACCACCACGACAACCACCACTACAACCACCACGACCACAGTCTTTCTTACAGCTGATCCGCTCACTTCCTGGGCCCTGCACGCGCAGCCTGACTCCCAGTCAGCGACTAAGTCGCGGATGCCCCTCTCCTCGTCATCCTCAGATCCGACGAATATATCGCGACCTTCAACGGTCGTTGTATCTTCGAAAAATTTGTCGTCTGCCTCGATTTCGTCATCGCAGTCTGTCTGGAGTGTGACCTCGTCCAAAGTTTCGTCATCGTCATCATTATCGTCGTCGGCTTTGTCTGTGACTGGTGCGGGTTCTTCGAGACTGGCAACAAGCAATGTTGGGTACCCACAATCCCCCGCCGCTGTCCGGCCGGCCGCGTCTTCTTCGTCCGTGCCGTCTTCATCATCATCATCATCGCCGTTTTCGTCGACGTTATCGCTGTGTTCCGTTGCCAAGCCCAGCCCTTCGACAGTCGACCACTCTCAGCGCAGGCAGTCACAGCACAGTTCTCTGTTGCCTGTTTACCCAACCGCAACAACAGCAGCTACAGCAGCAGCAGCATTGCCCACCCACTACCACATTCCGCCACCTCTGTCAGCCCCAGCAACAGTGCCTAGACATCAGCTGCATCAGCAGCAGCAACCGCAACAACAACAGCTGCAACAACCACAACAACTGCAACAACAACAACAACAACAGCAGATACCGCAACGACAGCAGCGACAGCATCAACAACAACAACAACAACAACATCATCAGCAGAGAACCTATGCCAACATGATGCAGCCCACGTCGCGACCACCACGGATGCCTGGACACCCTCCAACCACCCCCACCCCTCCCCCGCCGCACTCGCTGCTGCAACAACAACAACAACAACTTCAACAACAACAACAACTTCAACAGCAACATCAGCAGCAGCAGCACCACCACCACCACCAACAACAACAGCGTCCCGGTTTTGGTGACTCAGCACCCAGCTCACTGTCCCAAGCCTACATGAGCGATTTCCCTTCCCTCATCCCCGCAGTCAATCCTGACAGGGGGGATAACTCTAGCCCTAATCCTAGCCTCGGTAACCCTAACTGGATCCCTCCCTACCCTAACCCGAACCCGAACCCTAACCCGAACCCAGCTGTTAACGCCGCGAGGGCTGCTAATCATAACCCCGTCCCATCCTACTCGAAACCTTCCGGCGTTTCGTCAAACCCGAACCCTAACCTTAACCCTAACCATAACCCTACCTCTAACCCTAACCCTAACCCTAGCCCTACCTCTAACCAAAGCCAACACTGGGATATGCAGCGACCACACCCATCGACATCCGTAGCGCCGACCAGACCGGAAGAGGAGGAGGGGGAGGAGAAGAAGAAGAGGCGGAGGAGGAGGAGGAGACGGACGAGAGGGAGGTCGCAAAGAGGGAAGGGAGGCGAAGAGGATGGGGAGGAGGAGGGGGAGGGGGACTGTGGGAAGGCCAGCGACGGCTCGGCGGGTCTGGAGCGGGCCGTCTCGAGTTTGAACGTGTCCGAGTCTGTGCTGCACTTTGAGGATGTGGAGGAGTTCCCAGATTTGCTGACGGCGTCGTCGCGCCTGACGTCAGTGACCGGGGATGACGTCGGTGACCGGTCTACGCTGTCGGGGACCTCCGTGACCTATAGCGACATCATCAAGTCTGTGAGTTATTTATACGTATACATACATACATTTATATATATATA